TGTTGCCCTCCTCCCCACTTACCCCTCTCATTGCAAGATATTTGAGTTTTGGAAGGGATTTGCTTGGGGAGGAAATGTCAGACTCTCCAGTATTCAAGGCTGAACCCATATTCTGTTGTTGAATGCTCTATAAATGACCAGGTGGAGGGTAAACACGTGCAATTCCTGGTGCCTCAGACCTCTCTGACTGTGGAATTGGGATCTCTGGGAAAGAGTGGAAGAGGGGTACAGCTGAGGTGAGCTTCATCCTGAACAAATGCTAKAAACAGAATTCAAAGTGAGATCTCTCTGTAATGCTGTTGATTATCTCTGCTGAGTGCTGATCAAATCAGGCTTGCAGCCCTGGGCCATGTGAAAGTTGGAAAGTGTGATTTGGCAAGGGAAGACTTGCCACTGAGTAGGAGCTGGGAATTCTGCCTCAGTTTCCACACTAACACAGGATGGCATTAGCAGGAGTGGTGGGAGGCTGTTTTGGGGACTGTCCTGTGCCACACAGGAATGGCTGTTGGCTGAATACAGTCATTTTACAGCTGACTGTAAAATGCTATTGAGGTACTCAGTGCACTCTTGGTTTCAGCCAACAAAAGTGGCACATGTCAGAAAAACAGGAATGAACTCTTGACATTTGTGGAATATGTTAATTTGTGTCCTTTAGCCAAAGAGGGGGGAAGAAGCCCTACAAACGAGTTAATTTTGTGGTTGTGCTGCCATCACCTGTTTTTCACTAATCCCCTTAGAGTTAGTTTTTGTATCAAGGATACAAAAGATGCAAGTTGAAACCTGCCTGATCCATTCAGAGTGGGGAACTGGCTTGAGGTGCCCTCTCACCTTGATTATGACTGGATTTTAAAGCCCTTCCTGCTGTCTTTTGAGTTCAATAAGTAACCCAATGGCTTTAAGAAACTGAACAGAGGGTRTCTTAATTTCTTTTGCATCATGAGAGTAGTGGAAGGCCATGCTTTTATTTATACAAGGGAAATAACTTTTCCTGTCAATTTAATAGACAATCTTTGAAAACCTGCTGCAGGTTATTGGTGAGATTTTCTYATGATTTTCTTTTCTAAATTGCAATCGCCATTTTTATCACAAAGAGAGAAAGAAATCTTTTCAATACAATTGTAGATAGCAGTGTATCTCAAGGACATCAATGGGGGATAGTAGAGTCTTTCAGCAGTAAGATTTTGCCTTTGCTGCCAGAAAGGTGTATTTTTTTTTATATCCAATGTAATTAACATGAGAACTATCCCAGGGTAGAAATAATTCACTCTGTGACATAACTGAAATGTCTTGTCTGTGCTGTCTGGTTTTGTTTTTAACCTTGGGCTTAAAAGGAACCAAAAATCTTTAGTTGTAAAAGAGCACATCATCTGCAAAATATTATAAGCCATTTATCTTTATGCACAAATGCCRCCGAGCAGCGCAGCTCCACTTGTGCATCGTTAAATGCACAGACCATACTCATTTTGCCCCTAACTAATAACAGTCTCCCCTAGGAAGGCTGGGTGTCCCAAACAGCATTGRAAGAGGTAAAAGCTGGTGCTGAGGCCAGGCAGAGAGGGATGCTGGCCTCTCTGAGGTTCTGCTGGGGATTGCTGAGTGGCTGCRGGCTCAGTGTGGATGTGCAGGGCTGGAGTTGTGTGTCTGGCTGCAGAGAGCTGCCTGGCTGGGCTCACTCTCTATGAATTGTGGGTTTGCCAGTTCTTTTCCTGCCTGCCCAGGTTTCCCCAGGCAGTGTTTGAGGGCTGCAGCTGAGCCTTCTTGGGTGCTTTGGGTTCTTTTTGGGTTTGTGTCAGTCCCAGGCAGGGGCTGTTCTGGGGTTGCAGCACCAGCAGGATGTGGCTGCCTGGGCCATCCTCCTCTGCTCTTGAGGCCCTTCTGACAAGGAGAAAATTGGCCAAAAGAGCGAATAGATCCTTTGGAGAGTAAGAGTTGTGTGACAGCCCTCCATGTAAGAGCTCCTGTCCTTGTGCTGAGAGCCTGGGTAAGTTGTTCCAGCTGAAGGCTTGCCCYGGTAATTACTCCTGCCAGACAAGCACTCATTCACTGTGAAAGGAGGTTTCTTCAGCCTTGGGTAGATGCCAAGTTAAACTTCCACTAAGATTTCTTATATTTGCAGCCACAATTGATTACTTTTCTCATTATTTGATCTTGATATAGAGACATACGGATTGAGCTATGTTTATATTAACCCCTAAAGATTTTTTTTCTTTAGGAACATCCATCACTGTTGCATGCAAACTGTTCTGCTCTGGCACTCATAGCTGGTATTAGCTAGGGTTTTCTGTATTGCTGCATTGGTATGGATCTGCCTAAAGAGCCACAGTGTTCTCAGCTAACCAAGAAAGCAATAGTGGTTTGTTAGAAAATTTTGCAGGAAAATGCATGCAGACAGCCCTAGAGAGGGTGGGGCATGGCTGTGCATAAACCTAATCGTTGGAAAGGATTTTACAAGTTGACTCTAAAGTATTCACCAGTTACTAACTTTATATATGTAATAAAAATTCTGAGAGAGGGAGAAAAACCCACCCTTTTTCACCGCTGATTTTCAGGAAATTTGATGTTAAAACTTTTAAGAGAGAAGAGGCTCTTGGATGTGAAAAATACCAGGGTAAATTGCCATTTGGTTTTAATTATTTCTGATGTAACACTTTATTCAATAACTGTTTTTATTGTTTTCTGCTCAGTGGTTTTAAATCAGTGGTCTGCAGATTCCTGGGGTTCTTGGACAGCTTGGGATGCCTGAAAGTTATCTTAAGAAAAGCAGGTCTGTTAGGGTGTTTGAGTTTGGTGTCCAAGAGTCTGCTYCATCCCAGGAAAACATTTTGTGTGYGGACAAAACTCAAAAATTGAAAATAACTGTGAGAGTGAAAATGCTCTGAGGCTGTTTCCCTAGAGAGGAGCTTCTAATGAAATCTCTTGTTTCTGTTTTTGGTTATTATTTCCAATTTGTTAGACCCTGTCATTCTTGGTTAAATCTCAGTTGATGGAAGGGTGGAGTGAGAACTTCCACCCTTTCTCCTTTCCTCCTCCCGCCTTTCCAAGCAGGTAATTTGCCTCCTGGTCATTTCTGTGTTTACTTTGGGTGAACTGCCTGATGGAGCTCTCCAAAGTGTCGGAACACATAATTGTGTTCAGCTGTTTGACATGCTTATGTAGATAGCAGGATATTGTTATTAACCTTTTTTCTGTACAAGGCTGAATTCCATGAGTACTTTGGGGTTTAGAGTACTTGGAGAGAGGGGTAAGTTTGTCATGATTTCTCAAGAATAGAAGTAAATACTACCGCCCTTCATTTTTGTCTGTAGCTTTATTTCTGGGCAGTCTGTATTAAAGAGGTTTGTAAATAAACCCCTTCCTTTTTCCGTGGTGTTTGAAGGCCGTGGCCAGATCTGTGTGTGATATGGAGGGGATTGGAATTGCAATGCTGTTATCAGTGTTGTTGCTGTCTCAGTTCTGTCCTTTCCCAGCAGCACAAAGATCTCTGGAGCTGCAGGAAAGGGGTGCAGACACAGCCTGGCAAGGGTGGGGACTGGCACCCTGTCACACATTTTTCCTTCTGTCTGGCACCCTGATTCTTGTGCCAGCTGCTGAGAGGGTTAACAGGGAGCCCTCCTTCCATGCTCACTCAGTTGCAGGGCTTTGTTCTGGTCTCTTCTTCGCTTTGGGGATTTTCCTCCATGGGTATTTGGCTGGCAGAGTGCCTGGGTGGTGGCACGGAGCTTGCAAGGGCACAGCAACAACACAATTGCATCTTCCACTGAGAGCAGGAGTCTGGAAAAGGTTTCTGTGTGTATCTAGGTATCCTCTGATCAAAAGCTTTTCAAACTGCCAGTACAAAGGGACTGTTATCTTGCTGGTGAAAAATTACAGATATTTGCAATCAGTTTGCATCGATCTCTTTGGGGTATTGTGCTGTGCTGATTTAGTAACGTGATAACTTCTGGCACTGCTGCAAAAAGACAAAACAATCTCCGAGATCAGCCTGCAACAATTCRGTATTTTTGGTACCCACTAGCACATCAGTCTTAGAAACAGGACTGCTAAGACTCCCTGGATCTTGTTTAATAAAATCATGCAGTGAGGGCATCATGATTATAAATCACACTTGGAAATTGGCCTGCAGAGTACTCGCTGGGTTATGTGGTGTCGTGTGTTCCCGGCTCCTTTTTAATTTCCGAAAAGAAGGCATATAGCAGCAGCTGGAGCTGGAGGTGGAATTCATTTAGCTTTTTCGAGAAAGCCACTGCCAGCAAAAACCCAGCAGCTCAACAGCCTTTGGTCGTAGAGAGGGGAAAGGGATCCAAGTGACTGGAGCTGGTGTAATGAGAAGGAAAAGAACCAAATGATTTGGCAGCGTGTGAAAGAGGTAAGGATGTGGCAGAGAAAGGAGCAGGAGGAGCTGAAATGAAGAGCAGGAGTAAACAATGTAATTTAACTTATTCAAAAGGGACAGAATGCTTATTAAAGCTCTGAGAGATGATAAATTAGTGCTTTGCTGCTATTGTTATTTCAGATAGAGTTGTCATGTGGTAATGGTGCAGCAGCGAGGGCTGGAGGCTCCCTGATTCATGGAGGGGAATGGAAARTGGGATGTGTGGTTCCATGATTGAGAGCTGGAGCTGATGAGGCACAGTGTGCAGCCCTGGTTCAGGAGAGCATCCCAGAAGGTTGCCATCACATCCTGAGGGGTGGCTCAAATGTGGGTCCTGCTGCCATCAGGACATATCCCACGCTGAGAGCTTTTACCTTGGCCAGGAGGAGCTGTCAAAGCCCTGCTCTGGCTGCTGAAACCCTGTGTGAAACAGCCCCCAGAGCCCCCACCTGCAAATGCTCTTTGCTGCTCCTGTGGCAGCACACGGGGCATCAGGAGATGATTTGAGCTTGTGAAGATTTCCCCTAGGGAATATCGGGCTGGGGGAGGGAATCGCAAAATGGTTCTTATCTTACATTACACAGAATCTCTTGCATTACTTACTGTGGCATATTGTTTCCTCCCACAGAGTTCTGCTCAATCGCTTTCAGGAAGAGGCTACTCCGTAAGTCATTTTACAGCTAATTCTTTCACTTCTGTTGATGTTGATTRCAGAGGTTTTGCACTAGCTCTTGCACAGCCACTGACATGGAAGAAATGCAGAACAGAAGCAGGGTGAGAGCACAGGGCTGTGGTGAACCTGGCAGGGGGACAGCCCTGACATGTGAGAGCGCATTAAGAGCCTGCAGGCTTCTTAATTTAATGTTACACTTATAGGGAGGGGGGTTTTGTCAGTTTGTGGTGTTTCAGCTGTATTTCAGCTACATAGCCACCTCTGGAGAATTACAAGAGTGGGGAGWGTTTTAAACAGCAGCAGGAGATGCTTGTCTCCTCTCCTCCCTGCCCCAAACAGGTTTTCATTTGTGTGTTAAATGCAATCATCAAACATACAATTGCTCCCATTTTACGAAGAATTGTGACCCTCACCATTGTGAACAACAAAAAAGTCAGTATTCTGTTATTTAGAAGCTCTGAGCTCTAGACCAAGCTCACCTGTTTTCAGATGAGGRTGTTGCTGGTGTTTTCTTCACAGGAGGGCCCCAATGTTTTAGGGTGGTGTTATAGGGTCAGGACACGTCTGCCTGTGTATGCCATGTACCAGACATGTTTAATTGTCCATTTCTGTTCATGTGTACCTTATCTGTGTGTGCAATAATGACATTTCTTCATATAGAGGTGGATTAATTTGTTTATTTTGGGTGTGTTTTCTGCTCAGCTGTCCAAAAAGGCAGGCACAGACATCACTGAGTAGAGTAAAGCAGAAATAGGAGAGGGCGTGAGAGGCTTAGCAGAGTCAACATGAAAATTCCTGGAATCACATTATATCTGACTCTAAAAACAAATGTATGGTGGGGAGATATGATACCCTGCTTGTTCAGCCAGTGAGTCAYGTGTAGGGAAAAGGTTACAGATGAAGGTAAATGCAAATCTGAATGTCTCAGTCCAGAGAATAATTCCTGCCTACACTGACTGACAGTAATTGCTGTTTTCACAATTTCTGCCATGATAAAGTTTTGCCTTCTAGGTGAATGGTCCCAGACTGTTTCATACCAAGAGCTAAAGCTGCTCCTTCTCTATAGAACCAGAACAAGGGTGGATTTTATATACCTCAGGAAGCTGATGTGGAGGCCTGAAACACATTTCTTTTTACAATAACCACCAGAATTGTTTTCTTTCAATAATTTATGTTTTAAGTTAAGGGCTGTCTGATAGAACTTTYGAGCTTCTACCCAGTGCACAAAGAGAAAAAATTGCCAGGCAGTGCAGAATTTATGGTCTGATTTCATAGGAACACTGTCTCATGCCATCATGCATATTATCAGAAATTCATGATACAAGATTAAGTAAATTTTCATCATAAAACCATTACAAAATAACATATGACTTGAAAAGTCTCATAGTTTTAATGAAATAATGTCACAAATTTTTAGACAGTAATTACATGTCTACTAAGTACCCTCCTGTCTTAATCTTGCCAGTATCCCAGGTGAGTAGCATTGCTTAATTCATTGAGGGATGAGGAATGTTTGCTCTAGGACCCATTTTTTGCTRCTTTCCCTGCACAGGGACAATCAGATTCAGCAAAGCTTCTAAAGGCAGATGCTTTATCTTCTATTTGTCTGTGAAGTGCCATGCATGCCCATGGCACCACATAAATAATAATGAATCATCTTCACAGATTTTATGACTGAGGGCATGGTTTGGGAGCTAAGCAATTTCCCAGTGGCTATAACATAGGTTGCAAAACCGTAATGGAAAAAGGCCAAAGAATTCTTCTCAGAGTCTCAAGGCCAATAAATCATAGGACTGTTTTCTTCCATTGCTGGCTATTCAGAAATTTACTTTTGTTTCTCAGAGAAATGATTTTGGGAAAATTACTAGCTCCTTCTCTGTGCATRTGTGGGGACAAGGGTCTCTTGTTTCACCAGCCCATAACTTCTCCAGGGAGGTAAGAGCTTTCTGCATAGGGCAGTATTTTGAGGCTCTGAGTGGTGTGAACTGGCATTGCTTTTCTTTATGGACTRTTATTTTCCCTGTTGAACTGCCTTCTTCCCTACCATGTGCCAGCTCCTGAGTCTGGCTGTTTTCCCCAAGACTCTGATGCTGCTTTAAATTGWTTTAGCAGAAATCAGAGACTGCCACTGCCAGCACTGCCAGCCCTCAGTGGCCAGCCGATTCTCCCAGGTGGCACAGAGATGTTCAAACAGCAGATCCAGACAACTGGCCCCACACCAGGAGCTGTCCATATCATCTTGTCACAGTTTTCATTTTCCCATGAAAGCAGCTGCGACATGAAGTCACTGCTTTGGCTCTGGCCCTGTTTACATTGATTGGGCTGTTTCCCAGGCGTGGTGAGAGCAGTGGTAGGGAGGCACAGAGGAGACACCGCAGTGTTGGGTGTTCCTCCTGCTAGCTGTGCTGGTGGCTCGTGCTGTTCAAAACTCATGGAACGAGGATCTGTGTCGAAGTTCTCGTGCTGGGTTCCATCAGCAGCTGTTTAAACACCACAAACTACTCAGTGCGTGCTCAGTTTTAATTTCCTCGCTCTGAATCCGCACACTTCGCCATTCACTCRCTTCAGCTGTCCTCACAGAGATGTTTGCCTTCAGAATCATTTGTAGAAAACGCACATTTTAAGGAAATGAGCATTTGCAAAGAGAGAACTTAAAACCTGCAGTAGGAATCTCGGGTGAAAAAATCTCAATCCAAGGTTGGGCTCATCCAGCTGAGCCATCGAGGGCTGTCTGGGCAGGCTCCTTAGTGAAAAACCTCATCCATAAAATACAGACTCTGGAGCTAGAGTCAGGAAGAAAACTAAATGCAAGTGTCTAAAAAATTAACTCCTGAGTGTTGGACATTCCAGCAACTTCCTTGACTTCAGGCTTCCCATGGAACRTTACGTGCCTAAATAAGGACCATGCTTGAAATAACTGAAATTCTGGTCTAATTGAAGTTACCACATAACCTCTAGTGAGCTCCAGCTGCACCTAGATTTAATTTGAGCCTCAGAACCAGCATGAACAGTGACCTGGCACAAAGTTTCAGAGTTTGTCTGTACATTCCGCAGACAAAATTTCTTGTAACCCTCGTTCTCAAAATAAAGTTTCAGATGGCATTTACTTTTMCTTGGATAGGATGAGAGATTTCCATGTCTGTACTGCTGCTGCAAGCTCCTTATCTCATCAGTAGCATGTGTTTCATATCCTTATCTCATTAAATGTATACTTTCACTGTGCTGAGAAATGGAACACGAGTTTGTTTATGGAGGTTAATATCTCATTCCCTCTATGACTTGATGGTTACATTTGTGTGATAAACTACTCCAGCCATTTGTCACATTTCCTGCATGCACACATGAGATTGGTGATCTCAGTCAGAGAGGTCTGTCTGTCCTCTGGGCTGAGAAAACAGATTTTCTTTTTTTGGTGWCAAAGAAGCCTGTGCAGCTGAAAATGCACTGATTTGCTAACAGGTACACTGAGAATCAGAAATTAGGATTAATTGAGGTTTCTGTATATCACTGGTACATATCCACCCTGTGGCATTTGTCAGATTTATTTCTGATAGTTCATTTAGAACTGAACATAAAGCAGTTACAATGAATATAATATCAGTACAGTTTATTATTAATGGCTAAAAAGTTGCAGTTTTTTATAAGGTTGAGCACACTGCACAGGCAAACCCAAGCTGCAGTTGAACTTAGTGACTGAGTTTTGTAGAGAGCATAGAAGAGGATAAAGCTGAGGAATATGTGGTAGCTTAAAAAAATAAACAGAAAACCTCTTCCAATAAATCATGTAGTTTATTTATAGAGCATCTGTGCAGCTGTTCGTCTTCTGAAATGGAAGGGGCTAAAATGTGGGAGTGAATAAAAGAATAAACTTGAAGGCAAATGGATGGCCAGTGAGCCAACCTGTCTGAGTGTGCCTTGGAACGAAAGTACAGGAGGATGAGACGTCTTTGTTTGGTTTTATTTGTTCTTGAAAGGGGTTTTTTTTAAAAAAAAAAAATAAAAACAGTAACATACACTTGGCAACAGCAGCAGCTGATTTTTATTCTGAGCTTCTGTAAAATATCAAAGTCTTTGTAGCCTAGTCAAATCCCTGGCAGCTGATCAAATTCTGTTGATTTTACATCTTCCTTGTTGAGCGCCGGAAACCAGTGTCTCAGATAGCTGGGGCTGGAGCTCGTGGACAGAGGGAAATGTGCACAACACCACAAGGCTTGCAGAGACTCTGGGGTCACCCAGAGTCAGCTCAGWGCTTGGTGACACTGCTTGGTGACAGAGCCTGACAACAGTCACCTTGTCCTTGGGGTGAGGTTGATCCTGAGGTGGCACAGGCAAGCACTGGGRAGGGTTTAACCACCCTGAGCCTGCTGCACAGCCTGCCTGTGCCCCAGCCTGCCCCTCCTGCCTGTTCCTCTCAAATGACCTCGTTCATTTTTGGAACTGGCTTTGCAGTCTCTGGCACAGATTTACAGGACTCCTCTCCTGTGCAATGTGCTGGGTGTTGCTGTACAGTGGGGCTGTCACCCAGCGTGGTGCCCACAGCCTCCCTGCCCCTGTCACATCTCTTTAGCTCATGTCCAGGGGTGCAGTGCCAGGACAGCCCGTTCTGAGCTGCAGTTGCCCTGATTTGCAGCACAGAGATGGTGCCCAGCACGGCTGCAAAGTGCTGGGGAATCACCAGCCAAGGAGCTGTTGACTGTGCAGGTTTAGATCCCCTGTAAAGCTCTTCTCATGGCCTCTTTCAGTTTGGTGCCAGCTCCGTGCAGTTGTGTGCAGCCCTGGAGCAGATGTCCATTCTGTTGTCACACCAGAACCCCTCGGGGTGTGCATGGGCTCACAGCTCCAGTGTCGTGATCACAAAACTTCAGTGAGGATCACACCAGCAGCACTCCCTGATCCATTCTGTGCTTCAATGATGCTCCTGTGCTCTTAGGCTGAGCCCAAATTAGGACTTGGAGAAGCACCTTCAACAGCATCTTTTCTGTTCAGGCCTT